TCACTCGAGTGAGTGCTGCGGCTGACAGACAGACTCGCAGTACGACGGACGGACGGACAAAATTAAATCTCATAAATCGTCAAATGTTTTGTTACAGCGGTGAGAGAACAACGCTGGAGTCGCATAGTTGAGCCAGCACCACATGTCCCCACGTGACCACATGTCCACGACAAGGGTTGCTCTTAATTATTCGCCATCAGTCCCACCCCGTGATGATGTAACGTAAACAGCAATCGCGCACTTTCAGATGTACTATTGCGACCATCTGGAACGCTCTTGATTAGGGTATTAAGAAGCCACTGGAGCGATGCACTTTCAAATCTAGATTGAAAACTCGTTATTTTATAACTACTTTTTGCGTTTATTTTTTGTCCTTCTCCCGCACAACTGTAAGCGTGCAATGCAGTGACTGTCTTTGCGAAGACGGCCACTGCATTGCGCGCGGTTACGGATGCGCTTCTGCAGCCGTCTGGAACGCTCTTCCTTACGATATTTGGAAGCCACTGGAGCTTGGTACTTTTAAATCATGTACATTGAGAACTCATTTCTTTAAAAATATCTTTTTGTGTTAAGTTTGTTGTCCTTTCCCCCCCACCTCCGATTATCACGGTTGGCTATGTAAGTGTGAAAGAAATTCCACAAACACACAACATACATACATACATGCCAAGCGTGCGTCTGTGCAAAGCAAAATTACATAACACATTATGTTTACGTAACTACTGTTGTGTTTGTATGATGTAACTGTGAGTTGAACTCTGAACCAGATCTTAAAGAGAGGGTTATTGTCTACAACATTTGGCAGTTGAGCAGCATTAATTAAATCGAGCTGACGAGCTACTGGAAACCGATCCAGAGCTTGCTTGCATCGCAATACCTCGACAAACCAAGTGGATGCGTTCCCCGATCATTGCTTGTACACCGAAACCCTCGTACATCAAGTAACTTACAACATTAGTACTGAGGATGCGTTCCCAGCTTTCGTAAACTTGCCATTTCATACTGTATACACACTTCGTGACTTACCATTCATGCTTTAAAGACAAGTGATGTCGAAAACAACGTTATATTTTACACTGTACAGTATTAAAATAAAAAAATAACAAAGGAAAGCGCGATGCGCCACGTTGAAGAATTAGAAATGTATTCTAATTCGTAGAGCACCGTATATCGATAAACTTATTATTCATTTCAGTATACAACTATTAGATTTTTAGCTTTCACGTTTCAAGTAATGTCGGAAAATCCAAAGTTTGTTTTACCGAAATTTCGTTTGTAGAAGAAATGCACACCGAGGTACTGTTATACTCAACCGAGTCTGCTGAAATGACACTCCTTACAAGGCCACGGGGCATCTTGCTCCCGCACGCTCGCACTCGCACGGTAGCACCGTCTTTATCCCGATTCGCTTATTTTCACGTCACTGTTAAGACTAAGGTGGCGGAGCTCACCTGGCACGTCACCTAACTTTTCCGTTATTTTTCACCCGATCCGCGTCGATTTCTGTTCACGACCGTCATGTTCTCGTTTGTCAGTTGCACAATGTCCCGTCAGGACACTTTGTAACACTCGTTATCCGCAATGTTGACACTTTTGGTCTTTTGCCGCTGTTGCTGCTGCTGCACTCACGCACGACAAATCTCAACGGGATCATCCGTGTCAGAAAAATAAACTCTTACTCTTTTATATTCTTGGTTCTTTCGGTAAAGTCACGAAGGGAAATAATAAAATAATAAAAATATAAAACACATTTTTTTTCCCTCCCTTCTACGTGACTGCAGTCACAAAAACTTTAAATCAAAATCTTACTCTTTTGTTTTATGTGAAGACAGATATATGAAATTTTTATTTTGTCTACTCATCTATTTTGTTATTCAAACTTAAGAGCGCCCATCCTAGTAAGGTGTGCTAATCCGGCAGCAATTGTTTAACATGCCTTGCTCTGCTGAAGAGACCCATAGGGTTGAAACCGGTCCAGGGTTTTCTCGCTTGAACAAAATGCTTTGCGATAATATTAATTTGAAAAGAGACACCGACGGTCGGAAGCGTATTTCTAATTGCACTCATTTACACACAAAATGCTTGCCACAGATGAACCACAATCCCTTGCAAATCTCGTCAAGGAGCAAGAACCATCATCGCAAGAACCATCATCGCAAGAACCATCATGGC